ATCTAAAGAAAAGAATATTGGCGCATGATCAGTAATAAAAGTGTCTAAAACTAGAATTGTAGAGGATCGATCAAATCTCAGCATTACGTGATCCAAACAATTGTCCAAGCGGGTGGGAAGAGTATGACTTGGTAATAGTCAATGATAAGCCATAAGTTCCAAGTACTTTAACTTGTTGGAATCATTTGTAGTTTAGCAATGTCTATATTGATATCTCCTATCAAGATCACAGATTTGACAGTTCTTAAAGTCGACAAACAATGTTTTTTAACTCCATCGCAGAAATTGTATATGTTACGGTACGACGGAGAGCGATATATAGCTACTATGGCATACTTATTTTTGTGTCTTAAAATAAGACAGTTTGCGTCCAATATAGGTGGAAGAATAATGTTAATTACGATGTCCGATTTTACATAAACAACAACTCCGTCGTTTTGGTTGTGAAAGTTCGAGGAGTGCGACGGGTATATTGGCAAGGTCGTCACCTTACACAACCATTCCAACTATGATGTCACATTGACCACTAATTCTTTCCAAAATAATTATAAGCGCATCATAATTACAGTATAAACTACGAACATTGGCATGCATTACTTTAACGCATTTCTGACTCAAGTCTAAGTCATTTCTTATATTTTATGGACTACAGACAGCTACTCTAGATACAGTAATAGAATCGATTTCATTGGAAATGTTGCTTAATAATGACATTTGAATTTGTGATTTTTTTTTGTGTATTTTAAATATACATATTGATTAAAAACCAGGATTGATTGAATTTAAAACCATTGAAAAAGTTGAAATTCTCGCATAAGTAGTTTAGCAATAGCTGTATTTAATTTGTTTAAAAATTTGAAATTTGAGTCATAAACAATACGAAAAATTGTTAACTGTGGTAGAAAAATGTAATTTAAGGATGATAAGCTATTAATAAAAATATATAAATGAGTAATATAAAAGCATGCAGATTCTACGGGATATAAAACGAGTTTGCAGTCCAAATCAGATGTCAGGGTAAGACTGCTGATGGTCCAGGTCAGTTTCCCTGCTAATTAATCTTGCTGGAGAACCCTCCTTTTTATGAAGAAAAACTCGCAACAGTATTCGTAACCATTCTTTTTGCTAAAATCTCTTGCCAATAAATAGATTCTTCTCGCTGCCTGAGTTATAGATTCACCAATGAAGATTGGTTGTACTTGACCCGCCATTTCAAGGTATCCAGTATGAAGTTTATTTTCCTTATTTTCACGATTATAATCCTTCACTGATGTAAGAATATTATCTCTTAGAATCACAGTAGAAAAATTTACTAGTACAGGCCTATCTCCCTTTTTTGTGTTTAAGGAAATACATCCCTAATCTGATTTTCTTCCACCTTCACGCTTACAGCATCGCCAATTTTTTTTTACAATATTTAAAAGATCTGTTTTAGAGTCGTCTTTCTTAACAGGGATATTACGTATTTCAACAGCAGCTTGCTTTCGTTTCCAGTGATTATATATAAGCCAAGTGAACCTTTCTTTCACTTTCCATCCTTATTAATTCTTAATCTCTTCATAATGCCTTGAAATAAAGTCCATTGATTCCCTTATATCATTGTTTTGCTTTTGAATAACATTTAAATTGTCCTGTAATATATCCTGTTGACTTTTTAAAGCTTCCATGCTACTTCTGATTTCTGCTGTAAAGGTTGTCAGTTCGTCGCCATGTTGGCGTTTGCACGAGGTCTATTGCTCGTGTTATTGGAGTTCTTATTTTCAATATCAGGAGCTAAGCTATGATTAGGCTATGACTCAGATAAATAAATAGAAGGCGGGTTCCTTTTTAAAGGCATATCAATGTACTTTTTGCCTATCTACTTCCAGTTAAACCCGTTCGAGTAAAATAACCAATAGAGTTTTACCCTATTATAAGTGCCGATATTCAGTTAACTAATAAATCAGTAGCATATGTTGTATACGTAGCACCAATACGCACCAAACGTAGCAATCGCTGTTCAAATCAACACTGTAGGACTTCTTTGAATTGGTAGACTATTTTCATAGCTAAGATAACTACATCGGTGACCGAGACGACAAGCACCCGAAAACACTTACGCAACCACATCTAAAAGGCACAAGTTCAAATCTCCGCAACAAAAAACGCTTTTTTCGATATAGAAATTATTTAAAAATTAATTATTTCACAATACACGTCCACTCTCAATCGTGTCCGAGTGGGTGAGTGGATTATATAAGTATAAAACAAGAATATATTTTCTAATACATTTTACGATTTTGCTACCCATTGCACAAATTAAAGCGATACTAACGTTACATTTTCTTGATAAATAAGAAAGCTACAGTGGCAACCCGTATTAGTTCAGGCTCAGCCACCCCTCCTTCCCAGAAGATCATTTGTGGAAATTATAGTGTTAAAAGAATAGCATCGCAAACTAAGTAATATTTGGGCAAGGAGCACTCTTTTTACAAAATTAACAAATAAATAAATTGCGTGCCTCCGTGCGTGCATGTGAGCGTGAGTGCATGCGTGCGTCCGTGTGCGCATGTATAGAGGGAAAATCGAGATTAGGAATATAAAAGACTATCCTTGTCTCTTCTCATTGCGACCGCCAAATAGATAGTTAGGGGCAGGCAAAAACAGTTTTTAACTGATTATTCTCAAACAATTACGACTATTGTGAGGTCTAATTTCCAAGGTCGTATGTAAAATTAATCATTTGTCAATCCATACTTCAACTATTCACTTGCGCTTAAAAACAATTGATTTTTTTATTAATATATACCTACTTTTCTATCGTTTTGTTTACAATCTTTATGATTATTAATAAGTTGAAAGAACCTTGAATTTTCAAAAAATTTCTTAATAAAGTATATTGACATATTTACAAAGAATTCTGAAGAGACCGACAGGTCATCTGACAAGAACTCTGAAGGTCCTGCCTGACTGTAACAACTCATAGTCATAAACTATAACAACGAACTTTTTCGCACGTTCTTGTCGTATGTGATCCACTTTTCATAATCAGTTATCAGTTTCTTCGAATATATTTCGGTTTCATTATGCCGTAATAAAGAATCATAAATGAGCACACGGTTCATCAGGTTTCTTTCAGTGAGCTTGTGAGGTATCCAAATATCTATGTTTTTGTGTACCCAGCTTTTTTCAAATGCGCCAAAACTCCAAAAGTCAATCCCCAGTTCTTCAATTACGTCGTAACTACTGAAATGCCAATCTTACTCTCCTTTTTCAAAAATGGCATCCATTTAATACGTAAGATAGCGACCGGACCGACGTGGATCTTTGACATCAAAATTTCTGAAATGAAAACGCTTAAACCAAATGTGTGTTTCGAGCAGAAACTGCTCTAGGTCCAAAAATGTTACAAATTTTTTTCGCGGCTTGTGTTACTTCTTTATAAATAAATTAAAAAAAAAACTTCTTTAAAAATAAATAAAATGTATCGAATTTCTTCATTAGCTTCACTCATTTTGACAATAAGAAAACAAATGAAAATCACACTTGAATTCAGAGTTATCTTCTGTAAAATTTAAACTTTTTAATGATACCGAAACCAGCCAGACACAAATATATATTTAACTACTACTATTTTAATGTAACTGATCTCATTCGATTAGTTTACTCTCTGGTTGTCAAATTGTTTAATTCTATCGCAATAGCATTAACTGTATTTAAATTAGACTGAATTTTGTGAGCCTTTGTGCAACATTTTTAAAGAATGGAGAAAATTGAGCAACATGCGGTCATCAAATACCTGTTTAAAAAAACTAACTCCAAAAGAGATTCACGAAGATATGTCAACAACATTGGGGGAATCTGCTCCGTTGTATACGAATGTGAAATGTGGGTTACTGAATTTAAACGCGGACGAGAGAGTATTGAAGATGACACTCGCTCAGGCCGGCCTATGACGTCTACGGCTGAAGAAAACATCAGGAAAATCTGTGATCTGATATTGACAGATCGGAGATTGACTATCAGGGAGATTGCAGACACTATTGGCATCTCGTATGAACGAACACAAAACTTCATAATCAATGAACTTGGATTTTCTAAGGATTTTGCGCGGTGGGTACCTAGGTTGCTTTCAGTTGAACAAAAATGAATACGCCTCACGATTTCTCGCGACTGTTTGGAAATGTTTGAGGATGATTCACAAGATTTTTTATCCAGATTTGTAACAATGGATGAAACTTCGGTACACCACTACACCCCAGAGTCAAAACAGCAATCCAAACAGTAGAAAAAATGTGATGAACCGACTCCAAAAAAAAAGCCAAAACAATTTTAGCTGGCAAGATGATGGCGTCAATTTTTTGGGTTGCTAAAGGTGTCATTATGGTGGACTACCTTGCAAAAGGTGAAACTATAAACTCGGCTTATTATTGCACCCTCTTACGTCGCTTGCGCGAAACAATCAAAGAGAAAAGGCCAGGATTACTCAGCAAGAAAGTGTTGTTCCATCAGGATAATGCACGCGTTTACACCTCTGTTGAATCTATGGCTCAAATTCGTGATTGTGGCTATTCCCATGATTTGGCGCCTTCAGACTTTCATTTATTCCCAAACCTAAAAGATCCTTGGAGGTCAAAAATTTTCATCAAATGAGGAGGTCGAAGCTGCGGTGGATGACTTTTATGAAGGCCTTGAAGAAACTTTTTTAATGACCGGCATACAGGCGTTGTAAACCAGATGGAAGAACTGCAAAGAGTTAAGTGGAGATTACGTGGTAAAATAAAATTACTTTTGCTTATATTTTATATTGTTTTCTTGCTGAGGCCGCGAACTTTTCAATCCATCTAGTACCTAAATAGGTGGCATAGTAATTAAGCACCGCGTCGCGCTTGTTCTTATAATTTGTGTTGTCGGTGTGACTGTCGTTGATATCCATTAGACAATTTATTTTGTATTTGTGTAAATATATAGTATAAATTAACATTATATGTTAACAGTGGCTTGGTATCATGACGTCGAAGATGGACAGCAAGGATGTCAGCAGTATAGCGATTATACCACAGTTCTACGCGGGCAGGGAAGTGTTTATCACTGGAGCCACAGGATTTATAGGCAAAGTTAGATTCGATAATAAACTGTATTTTATTGCGAAAGTACCTACTAACATTTTATTTAATTAAATAATTCAACAATGACCAATGTGCATGACGATAAGTTCTAATGAGATTTCATTAGAAAAAAGAAGAAAATAACTTCTTACAAATTTCCTGATACAGGTGAAATGTTTCACCTTACGATTTTTAAATCCAAACAGATGCAGTAGCCGTTAGAAGTCAGTTAAATACGTAATATATACTACAGCATGACCTATAAGTTCTGAAGAGATCGCTTTTTATCTTTATCGCTTATTATCTCTTTACGAACAACACAATTATATACCTTGTGAATATGCAGGTGTTAGTTGAACGACTGTTGTCCACGTGTCCTGACATCGGCCGTCTACACCTGCTGATGAGAGTTAAGAGAGGAGAAGCACCAGAGGCGAGACTACAAAAGCTCAAAGAATCGCCGGTAAGTATATAAGAAACTATATTTCACCGAATGTGACAATAACATAACAAATATCGAGTCTATAGCAGGTTTACAATGATCGTCCCACCGCCAACTGCACTAATAAATAAAGCTGAAAATCACATTCTTAAATAGAGCTATACTCGTAAAATACTTTATAACAGTCTTTAAATAGGTAAATCGCAAGTTAGATAATGACATATATTAATTAAAAATTGTTTTGCGTAAATATTTGCAACTATGTACACACAGTATAGTACTGTAACGTCCGTGCACATTACTGAAGATAGGTTTACTCTCCGGAAGATTTATGGTCAATGCTGGCCGATAATATTTTGAATTATTACTTTTTCGGTATTAGAATTTGTTTTTGCTGTTGCTTTTTGCTTGAGACCGGCATAGAGTCAGTATCTACGAATTTAGTTATAAGTGAATTGATGTATATTATTTGTAAATAAAATCAAGAGGTTAAAGAATTATACTAGGATTTCATTGCGCCATCCAGAGCCTCTGCTAATCCTACCATTAGAGTACCATTAGACGAATTAAGATCATATGTTGAAATAATAAGTATTCATCATCAGCCATTTTACGGCCCCACTGCAGGGGTTAAGGAGGATGGGCTACGACCCTCCACGCTGGCCCAATGCGAATTGGAGGGTAATAACGACTGCAAATGCAGTCGGGACCAACGGCTTAACGTGCCATCCGAAGCACGAAGTATAGATAATAATTATTCGAGATAATAATTTTTGGTCACCCATTCCGTGACCGACCCTTGTGATAGTTGCTTAACAACAACGATTGCGGACCGCGGCGCTTATTCTCTACTCCACCGAGCTGCTGCTGGTGCAATACTCAAGTAACGCCACAATGTTTAATAACATTATAATTATCTGCGTTGATAACATTTCTCTTTCTAAAACTATACTCGTATATTTAAGACATTATACAATTTCTAATAGAATAACATCTTCAGGTGTTCGATGTTTTACGTAACGACTATCCTGATAGATTGAATAAACTGAGCCCTATAACAGGAGATATCAACAAATTAAACCTTGGATTCACCGAGAAAACTATAGCAGATCTTAATAACGTGAGACTTATTTTATTTTTATTAACTAATAGATTAATAACAATGATAAAAATAACCTTACTAACACAGAAGACTGAAAAAGAAACTTGATGGTACTTTACTAACTTATACAGTTATACAAATAGAAACCAATAACGATACTTCACTGACGAAGCAACAAGAACTTATAATAATAATTAGGTACTATATGTCGTGGCAAAATCTTAGAAGTGATTACATCAGTAGATGATTATTTCATAAAATAGTTACACTTGACGATTACATAGGATTAAATATTTGTTATGATTTTATTTTTAAGGTATCGTTGGTATTCCACGTGGCTGCAACCGTCAATATGAGAGAGAAGTTGGACTTATCAGCAAATATCAATATTTTAGCAACCATGTGCCTGTTGGACATCTGCGATCGATTGCCCAACATGGCGGTAGGATAACAATTTTTATCCTTATGAAATTCCACGTTGAAATCATTAAAATTTTCTTTATCGGTATGTTTGCTACGACAGGCTTTTATCCACGTTTCTACTGCGTATTGTCAAGCGGAACGTTTTCTGGTAGAAGAGACTGTATATCCGCTCTCGAGACCTCTTGATGTCATGATCGAGGACTCGCTCAATGGAGGACAAATGACGCAAGCTGAAGTTGAAAAGTACTAGTTAATTGTTGTAGTGACCACTATTCCTTCAGGGACGCTAAATACTATTTCACTGGCTCACCACTACACACAGCCCGGGCACAGTCGCACGTCAATCTGTCACCGCGTCTGTCACACAACTGGCTGATTGACAGCTACCCCCTCTGCTGGTGTACATGAGACAGTGCAGGTATCTATTTAATAGATACAAACACTACATCCCTTCCTTTTTAACAAATTTTATTTTTTACACATTATTTTTTTTTTTTTTGTAGTTTAATATAATAAAACTTTTATTTAAATATTTATGAGTGGTTTTTAATGATATTTAGTAGAATATGTGTTTCACTCAAAAGTCTGCTGCATATATTGCGTGTTATATACCAATATTCCACGGAAATATTGGTATGCAATATTCCCATGGAAATTCTCATTGGATTCAAAACAAAATATACTTAACGCAACCTAGTAATATCGATTGAAGTCGTATTCCCCTGTTAATATTATTGATTTTTTTACAAATATTTTTTAAATATTTACTGTCCGTGTTATATAAAAATATGAGTTTCCAAATATAATATTAGGAAGATCTATGTATTTTATGGAAGTAACATAAGTAACAGCGTGAAAATACGTAGAAGTCACTTTATATGTATTTTGCTTATCCTGCCATTGAGAAATTAAAGGAATTTTTTTTTTTTTTTTTTTTTTTACTAATAATCCGAAAGAAAATATCGTTGGATTAATTCATATATTAAAAAAGAAATATATGATACCCTCATAATAATAAAAAAACAGCTGTTATGTTTTAATGTTTGATCTCCATACTGAAAGTTGCTATTTGTATCAGGCTACTAAATAAGTGCGGTGCCGGCCGTTGCCGTGCCCCAACAATAATGACTCATCAAACTATCTAAGTAAACAACAAGCATGATATTGTAATTTGTGTATAATTTATAATGAATTTTGTCATTAATATGATTTATTATCTACATTTGACTATAAAAATATTACGTAGCTGAACAATTTGTGAATAACTTAACTAATAATGCTACCCTCCTTCCTTTTGTTTTTTTTTCTTTAATATTTTCCTTACTTAAATTTTACTGACCTTTATTCTCGTCGCCACTTGTAGTGACCACTATTCCTTCAGGGACGCTAAATACTATTTCACTGGCTCACCACTACACACAGCCCGGGCACAGTCGCACGTCAATCTGTCACCGCGTCTGTCACACAACTGGCTGATTGACAGCTACCCCCTCTGCTGGTGTACATGAGACAGTGCAGGTATCTATTTAATAGATACAAACACTACAATTGTTATATGGTTTATTGTTTTTCGTAGATTAAGTAAATATTTTAATATCAATTAGAGGCAGAAGCAATTGGTAGGTAATGCCTTTACGCTGAGCAGAATTGCTGTCAGTTTCAGCCATCATTAGAAGTGACTTGAAAAAGTTCATAGCATCATAATCTTCAGGCTGGAGTGATCTACAGACAAAAAGCACTGAATGAAAACATTAAACTAACCCAATATAGAGTTAAAACCGAGCCAATATACTTGTACATGTATAGAGATCCACTAATTGATACAGCACTATACGTCTTGTTTTCAAATTGTATATATTTCAATTCTTTCAGCACTTTCAAAGATACTGGAGAGGATTATTAATAACAGATTAATCAAATACCTTGAAACAAATAACATTCTTTCCCAACAACAATATGGTTTTCGTGCGAACAGATCAACAGAGGGAGCAGTTCATGAATTGTGTAGTTTTATAGTGAATTCCTTGGATAATTCTAAGAAGTGTCTTTCTATCTTCCTGGACTTGGCAAAAGCTTTTGACACGGTTTCAATTCCACTACTTCTTGATAAATTAAACCAAGCAGGAGTGCGAGGCCTCCAACATAAACTAATCTCTAGTTATCTAACCGGTAGATCACAATGTGTTAAAATATCAGATCATGTTAGTGAGGATGTTCCTGTGATTTATGGGGTTCCTCAGGGTAGTGTACTGGGTCCAACGCTATTTTTAGTATTCATAAACGACCTATGTAATATTAAACTAGAAAATGGCGTAATTATTTCTTTTGCAGATGACACAGCTTGTGTTTTTAAGGGTGAGTCTTGGGGACAGATTTATCAAACAGCACAACGTGGTTTAGATAAAATTGTAGTATGGCTGAAACAAAACCTGCTAACAATAAATGTAGATAAAAGCAAATTTATAACTTTTGGAATACGTAATCATGCTTCCCGTATAGTTGATTCAAATCTTAAACTAGTTATTCATAATCATATCCATAGTGTAGAAACCCTCTGTGCTTGTCCAAAACTTGAAAATGTTTCTCATATTAAATATCTTGGCGTTGTAATAGACAAAAACTTAAATTTCATTTATCATATAAATCAAATTGTAGCTAGGGCTCGAAAACTTATCTACGTCTTCAGAATCCTGAGACATATTGTAAACTATGAAGTGATCAAATCTGTTTACTATGCAATATGCCAGAGTGTTTTGGACTGCATCATTGTTTGGGGGGGCGCCTGTAAAACCCACCTTATGAAACTTGAAGTTGCTCAGCGCACAATCCTGAAAGTAGCTACATTTAAACCCTACTATTTTCCAACGCAAGAACTTTTTGGGATATGTAGATTGTTAACAATACGCCAGTTGTTTATTTATAATGTCATATTAAAACAGCATTCATTCTCAACTTATGATAGCACATTATTAACCTCTAAAAGAGGCATGATATTGTGTTTAATACGCCGAAATTCAATACCAAATTTGGTCAAAAATTTGTGGAATATCTTGGACCTATACTTTATAATAAATGCAATAGACTACACTGGACCGCAAAGAAAACGGGTCGGTTAGAAAATCGTCAATATCTTGAAAACTTCTTAACTTATTTTTATGAAATAAAAACTAAATTAAAGATTATTTAATTGTAATTTATTGAATATAAAAAAATACGAATTAAAAGTTGTCTATTTTCAATAAATGTCAAACGAATGAAAAAGGTAGTTTTTCTGACATTTTCGTAAATATGAATTGTATAAAGATGTGACGTTTTTACGCATGTTAGTATTTCGTGTTGCCTCCACGAGCTTGCAAAACTGCGGCTATGCGATTCGGCATACCTTCCACAAGGTTTTTAAGGCGATGCTGCGGAATGTTCTGCCATTCCTCGATCAAAGCTCCTTTCAATTCACGCAGCGTGATTGGCGGCGGATTCCGTTGACGTACACGTCGTCCCAGTTCGTCACATGCGTGTTCGATGGGGTTTAAGTCGGGGCTTCGTGCTGGCCACTCCATGCATGTGATATCTACTTCGTGAAAATAGTCGAACACTATCTGAGCTATATGCGGGCGGGCGTTGTCTTCCATAAAAACAGCATTTTCGCCCATATCTACTAAAAATGGACCAACATAGTCATTAAGAATTTCATTTACATATCGTTCTACTGTTAAACTGCCATTTTCTATCACTACTAGCTCAGTACGGCTTTCGGAAGAAATCCCAGCCCACACGTGTATAGAGCCACCGCCATATGGTACTTTTTCTTCTATACAAGCTTGGTTATAGCGCTCTCCCGGTGTTCGGTACACTCTTTTCCTCCCATCGTGCTTGTATAAACAGAATCTAGACTCGTCTGAAAACATAACTCTTGACCAGTCATCCAGAGTCCAAGTTTCGTGTTCTCTGCTATAACTCAACCTTGAGTTTAAGTGGTGTCTTTCTAATTTTGGGCCATTTACAGGCCTTAATGGTCTCAAATTTGCTTCAGCCAGACGTCGCCTTACTGTATCTGTACTCAGATAGTTTCCTCCAGCTCGTAAATGGTGATTTTTTACCTCAACGGCCGTAAGAAATCGATTTCTCAAAATTGTTGACACCATATAGCGATCCTCCCGCGCAGTTGTGCACCTCGTTCGGCCTGTTCCTGGTCTTCTTAGGTTGGATCCAGTTTCATGGAAACGCTGGAGTACCCGCTGAACTGTGGAAAGACTCACACCAACAGTTCTCGCTGTATTGCGCTGACTGCGCCCATCTTCAAGCATTGTCAGGATCCTGGTGCATTCTTCAGGGGTTAACGACATGATGACTTCAGAATACAATTTTTGTATGACAAACACACGATATTTATTGTAGTTTTTATGTCGAAACTAAAACAAATGCGAAACAAATGCTTTGATTTTTTTAGAACTAAATTGAAAAACAACCATTATCTTCATTGCCAGTTTTCTTACACAATTATCTAAAGTAAATAAAAAGGTTTTATATACTATGTTAAATAACATTAAATATTCTTTAATTGAGTTTTTATTTCATAAAGCTAGGTGAGGTAGTTTTCAAGTTATTGAAGATTTTTTAACCGACCCATTTTCTTTGCGGTCCAGTGTATTATCCATATACCCTTTAAATAGGTATCAATATAAAAA